AGTTTACAGATGTGCATCGACTATTGTGCACTGAACAAACAGACAGCACTGACTACAGCGCCAGTACTCATCCTACCGGATCCAGACAGAGACTACGTGGTGGAAGCAGACGCTAGTGACCAAGCAGTCGCAGCAGTACTGATGCAGCATCACGAACGCAGTTTGCAGCTCATCGCCTACCTTAGTAAGAAGCTGTTACAGTGGAAGGACTTAGCTGTAAGAAAGGGATCAGGAAAGATTTGGGTACCAAATTACGCCCCACTACGGCAGATCCTATTGGAGGAATTTCACGACGTACCTTACGCGGGACATTTCGGGAGCAACAAGACGTTAGCAGGGATAGTGAAGTATTACTACTGGCCCGGGATGGCAGCAGACGTGCAGCAGTTCGTCACCTCATGCGACACGTGCCAGCAGATGAAGAGCAGCAAACAGAAAAAAGCAGGGTTACTTCAGCCTCTACCCGTACCGCAACGGCCATGGCAGGACGTTAGCCTCAACTTCATCACAGGACTTCCTTCAACCTCACGGGGACATGATTCCATCCTCGTGGTCATCGATAAGATCTCCAAAATGGGTCACTTCATACCGACCAACGCCACTGCCACAGCTGAAGCAACTGCTCGCCTCTTCTTTGACCGCATCATCACCATCCACGGCATCCCCGCTACACTCATCTCAGACAAAGACCCCAAATTCACGAGTAAGTTTTGAAAGGAGCTCATGGGATTATTGGGGACCAAACTTGCGATGTCCTCAGCATACCACCCATAGACTGACGGACAGACAGAGCGACTCAATCAAGTGGTTGAACAGTTACTGCGCACAGCTTGCAAGGACGACGTCAGCCACTGGGACACACAGTTACGGACCCTAGAGTTCGCTTACAACAACGCATCACACGCGGCCACAGGGAAAACTCCTTTCTTCCTATGTTACGGACGAGAACCACTCACACCACAGCAGCCAACTACACCGGCACACGTCCAAGCCGCACACGACTTCGTCACCACCATGCAGCAGCTATAGGAGAAGACTCAGCGACGCCTCACCACGATGCAGAACTCCCAGAAGCAGTATGCCGATCGCTAGCAACGTGATCACACCATAGCAGTCGAAGATCAGGTGCTTTTCGACACACGCACCTTGGACTTGTCTCACCTACCGTCCAAGCTCCGGCCTCGCTTCGGTGGTCCTTTTCACGTTGAGGCACAGGTGACACCAGTTACATTCCGCTTGCGCTTACCAGATACGTGGAAGCTTCACAATGATTTCCATGTGCAGCTACTGAAACCCTACAAGGATCCCAACCAGCAATTCCAGGGACAGCAGCTACCGCCTCCTCCTCCTGTTCTTGTGCAGGATGAACCCGAGTACGAGATTGAGCGCGTTCTCTCTCATCGGCGCCGTGGCAGCAAGACCCTCGAGTTCCTGATACGCTGGAAGGGATACGACCCCACTGAGGACAATTGGGTTGTAGAAGCTGATATGGGCAACGCACACCGTGCTCTCAAGGACTATCTTGTCAAATAGGGTGTATCTCACACCACCCAGCTTTGAGGGGGGGACGTGTGAGAGTACGACGGCTTATGCCAGCTGTGCTTGCTTGCCTTTACTTTATCATGCTATTTCTAGCATAGGATAATTATATGCATGCATGAATTGCTTGATTTCCTAGGCTAGGTGCTTTCCTATATTTTATTATAGTTATAGCACCGAGCTAGGTTACGTGCACCGAATTCTGGCTTTCGGTTGCCACCGAATTGCCTTCTACCGAATTCCGTAAGGATCTGTTCGGGACGCTACGCGGCCCGCGGAACCTTCGCGTAACACCTGGTTACGGGGCCTTGTGTCGAGCCTATATAAAGCCTCGTGTTGTACCCAGGTGATTCATTCAATTACAATTCTCTTTCTTCAGCTCGATCCTAGATCCTCACAGCACATGTCAGCCGTCACACCTCAATCCGCATCTTGCTCTACATCTGCGTCGCCAAGCACCTAGGCCTCCACCAAAAACACATTTCTCAATGCCGTCGTTGACGGTGTCATCTACGTGGAACAGCCTCAAACCTTTGAAGAAGACGCATCCATAGTCTCCCTCCTCAAGAAATTACTCTACGGCATCAAACAGGCCCTCTGCCTATAGCAGCAGTACCTACAAGCCGTGCTCATTTTGCTTGGCATCCAACAACTTCCCCATGACCAATGAATGTATCGTCTCAAATTCCGCAGTCACTTCATTCTCCTCGTCAACGTGGGACATGCGCAGAACTCCTCGATCGCTTTCACAGACACAATCAGGAGAAACTAGACGTCACTATCTCCCACTCGGTGACTCAATTCTTCGAACTCAATATCACTCAGTCCGCTGATCCCATCCAACTCTCTGCTGTGATGTATGTCGAGACGCTCGCAAAGGAGTTCGCCATCACCCCTATTAATCTCTCCACTCAGTTCCGCATAACTTCTTCTGGACACACTTCCGACATTACGCCGCTCTCTGCCACGGACCACTAGCTCTATCTACAGCAACTTGGATGCCTACTGTTCTGATGGAAAGCACGCGAATCTGGAGAGCGTAACAAGAGATTAAGTCCGCCGACTTCGGCGAACCATTGCGTGCAGCTCACGTAACCTAAAACTATGAGCAGGTATGCGTTGGAAAGGTCTTAATCTCTATTTTCTAGAATGGTGAAGCACGCCTTCAACACCAAGATCTAGGCCGATCGCTATCGCGATTTAAGTGCGACGGGGTATCCTGGCGGAATTACTTGGCAGCCATGGATTAGATCTAGGAATGGCTTGAGCAAGAGTTCAGATCTGAAAAGGTGACGAATTGTTCAAACCCTACCAACCCAACCCTTGCCCTACAACAATTCCCAGCAACTCAAAGTGCTAAACTAGCAACACCAAAAGTGTTGTAGTGAATAGCAAAGGTTTGTTGGTGCTTGTTGAGTGCGAGATCAATTCCAGCCCGCAACAAGTCTAACCACCACATTTTGCCCAAACCCTTAGCCCACAACCAGCTAGAGCAAAATACCACAACCACCTACACAATCAACATGTTCGCCGCCATCACGTGCCGCCTGGAACTATCATACATCGCAAGCCAGCTCGCCCAGTACCTGCGTCGAACTAAAGGGGAGAACATGCAAGATCTACATCGGGCACTACAATACTTCGTTTTTCCACCTGACGTCGGACTAACCTACACGGCCAACCTAACTGCTACTCTTCAAACGTTGTCGCCGATTACGCTGGAGACATTGACAACCGACGCTCTTGGAAAGGATTCGTTTTTCAACTTGAACCAGCTGGATTTATCGCCTGGAACTCACAGAAGTAGAAACTCATCGTTCTCTTGTCAACCGAAGTTGTATTCATCAACGCCGGCGCAGCTGTTCACGAAGGTCACGATGGACGGGTCCTTAGAGTTACTCAGTGACAACTAAAGCGCAATCAAAATCGCAAACAATATCGGCTTCGTGAACCGCGCGAAACACATCACTCTCGGTTACTTCTTCGTGAAGGATAAGATTGACAAAGGAAAAGTCAAATTCCACGTCAGAAGTTTCAGTACTGCGCGGATCTATGCGGAGTCATCAAGAAGTCTCACATGGCTCACCTCCAATGAAGGGGAGTGTTGGAATAACTGAAAGGTTAAAGCGACATTCCTGAAGGTGTCGCTATAGCGCAATGTTTCGTAACGAGACTGTGCATATACCACTATATACGAGACTGTGCATTAGCTGATATAAAGCACACACAAATCGTGATTTCAACAGCTGGAGGTCAGAGGTTGCGACCTACTCCGAAGGTCGCAACCGTCTTCGAAGGTTATACGCTGCACCGTAAAGGATCGCGATGGACACTGCAATTGTAGCGATAAATGTGATACATTTTATAAGGGGATGCACCCCTCATAGTAAATGGCTAGCTAGGACTAAATAAACCTAGTATAATGCTCTGTTTATCATCTTGTTGTTTACAAAGGTTCAGGTGGTTTGAAAAACACATCTTCTAGTATCGCGTGGATACGCACGACAAGTCGGGACAAGTCAAGCACGGGCGTGAATAACATGCAGCCCCTCACCAGCACGCATTACAACACTTCGCATAATTCGCCCACGCGCTAGCTACTCACGCCTTTGTTTGGCGAGGGTGTGGTTACTTCGGAGCTTATTTGCAAAAGACGCAGGGCGCGTCATGCGTCCTGCGTCTGGACGCAGCGTCCGGATGCATGGACGCAGGACGCGCGTCTAGACGTAGGACGCACTGTGGATTTTGTGAAGAATGAGGAATGAATGAACTAGAAAGCAGGTGGGTACAAGTAGGAAACCTAGAGGTGTTGTACCCTATAATGTCTACCCCACTACAGCCTAGACAGACTATAGTATAAGAGTTTGACAGATTTTTTTCGGGCTGACCGAAAATGTCGACCCCCTTAACCCAAATCGACCTTGAAAAACAACCACCGCACCATTTCTAACCCCTCCATGCAAAATTGGAAAGCCCAGCCCTCACAACCACTCTATATCTACATAACCCAACCAATGTGGCCCACCACCAAGCCCATTTAGTGTTGCAACCATCTCATTTGTGCTCCCTCATTTTACCAACCAACCCAATTCTCCTTAGTATACCCTACTTGTTTTAGTTACCAAGCGCACTTCCGTTATGGCTTCCTCCACCAATCCTTCGTCTTCCACCGCATCTAAAGATGATAATGCCGACCGCGATGCCCCCCCCAAGCGGTTCACTAAGGATGGGGTGGAGAAGAAACCGCAAAATCCCACCCGCCTTATTTATAAGCGTTATTGGACCTTCGACGATCCGACTAAAAAGGGGAAGCAAGCGGAGTGCATTTGGTGCGAGAAAACGTTTGCGTATAGTAGCCGGTGCACCCAACATCTTGCCGTATGGAATAACCCGAAAGTTTGGCGCGAGGCCGGGATTGTTTGCGCGAAGGTTCTGAAGCGCAAATCTGACAGCATTCGCGGATGAAGGAGTCCAAACTTACAGGGCGCAAGGATGAGAGGGCGACGGATGCGGCGCTCACTGCAGTGACCGGCCAAGGCGGAGCGGGATCGAAGGCTAAGCGCGGGCGGATGGAGGACTTGTATGGCGAGGGGGGAACTCGGTGAAGCGTGCGGTCGCCGATGCAGTTTGCCTCTACATCGCGGGGACGCGCACGCCAGAGAATCGGTGCGAGCACCTCTTCTTTATCAACATGCTGAGCACCGTTAACGCCGCCGGACCTGCCTACGTCCCCCCCACGCGTGGCTACGTTGGAGGCGCCGGGCTGCTGGAGTGCAAGAAACAGATTGAGAAGGGATTGGAGCCCATTACGAAGACTTGGAGGGAGACGGGCGTGACGATCGCCAGCGACATGATGATGGACAAGCGCATATAAACATCATCTGCATCAACGCCAGTGGTGCGGTTTTCCAAGAGGCGATCGACTGTAAGGCGGAGACAAAGAGGGGCGTTTATCGTTAACATCCTGCAGCCGATCATCGAAAAGGTTGGACCGGAGCACGTCGTCGCGATTTGCACGGTCGGCGGCAGCAACTACGTGTCCGCCGGCAAGATGCTGCAGAAGAAGTACCCGCACATCGAGATCGTCCTCTGCCCCACCCATGTGCTCGACTTGCTGATGGAGGAATTCGGCAAGATGAATTGGGCGCAGGAGGTCGTCACAGTTGCGAACGACATGATCTCGTTCCTACGCATCCACCAGTGGGCGCGTGCCTTCCTGTGGAGTCTCGAGCTGCACGGCGAGGAGAAGTCGCTGCAGCCGCTGCGACCGGCAGGCATGCGCTTTGGGACGCATGACATCGGAGCGTCATGTCTGCGCCAGATTCGCCCGCAGCTGATGCAGATGGTGATGCACAAGGACTGGGAGAAGGGGAGGAAGCAACAAACTGGAAAGAACTTCGAGGCGTCGGTATTGGATGCGGAGTGGTGGAAGAAGGCGGTTACATTTGTGAAGGTGATGGAGCTTGTCAAACTCATATGTTGCATATGGTGTAGGCTGTAGTGGGGTAGCCCATAAGGGGTACAACCCAATTAGGGTTTCCTACTTGTACTCCTGCATGCTGCTAGTTCATCATTCTCGTTTGCTCCTCTGACATGGTTTCAGAGCAGGTCCTAACATAGGACCGTTTTTTTTTAGGACCTGACCGAGTCGCGCTACCCGACCGAGTCGCGCCGCTCGGTTAGTGCTGCGCTGCCTTGCCCTGCCCTACGTCGCGCTGCCCACGCACGCCCTGCCCTGCCCTGCCCGCGCGTGCCGATTGCTGCTAACCGCCGCGCGCCCTGCCCTGCTCTGCCCGCGCGCCCCCAGTCCGCCGCACGCCCTGCCCTTCCCGCACGCCGCCCGTCTGTTGCGCGCCCTGCCCTACCCGCGCGTCGCCTGTCGCTGTGCGCCCTGCCCTGCCTGCGCGCAGCCCGCCGACCGCGCGCCCTGCCCTGCCCGCACGCAGCCCGCCGTCGCGCGTCCTGCCTTGCCCACGCGCCGGCCGCCAGCCGCGTGCCCTGCTCTACCGGCGCGCCGCCCGCCAGCCGCACGCCCTGCCTTGCCCGCGCGCAGCCAGTCCGCCGCGCGCCCTGCCCTGCCCGCATGCCGCCCGTCCGTTGCGTGCCCTGCCCTGCCCACGCGTCGCCTGTCGCTGTGCGCCCTGCCCTGCCTGCGCGCAGCCCGCCGACCGCGCGCCCTGCCCTGCTCGCACGCAGCCCGCCGTCGCGCGCCCTGCCTTGCCCGTGCGCAGCCCGCCAGCCGCGGCCGCCTGCAACCCCGAGCGCCGCCTGCCACAGCTGCGGCCGCCCGCTACGACTAACGCGCCGCCCACCCTGCTGCCCCGCCGGCCTCCTGCTGCCCCGCGCGCCGCCTGCCACATCCGCGGCAGAGCGCTACGCCCAGCGCGCCGCCCGCCCTGCTGCCCCGCCGGCCGCCTGTTGCCCCGCGCGCCGCCTGCCACTGCTTCGGCCGCCCGCTAGGCCCCGCGCGGCGCTTGCCTACTAAGCCCGCGCGCCACCTCTGCGCCTGCCCCTATTGCGGCCGCCCGCTTCAGCCCAGCGCGCCGCCCTTATTACTGCTGCTTGCTTGCAATCGCTCTGCCCTGCCAGTCCCACGCCAGCAGCTATGGCCACCCTCCGCGTTCTGTTGTTCGATACTGAGGGCTGCCTGATTCAGTTTGAGACCTGGCTCGATGACCTGCAGCTGTTCCTAAGGAGCGATAGCAAGGACAATGTCTCTCTCTTTGACCACACGTCTGGTGCCTCAGTCGCTCCTGCCGCCACAGCTGAGCTTAGCGCCCATTCCAAGTGGCAGACTCGTGATGCTGCTGCTCGCCAAGCCATTCGCAACCACCTGCCGTTAGCCAAACTCACGCATTTTGGCGAGCACAAAACCGCCAAGGCCATGTAAGACGCTATAGTTGCTCGATACTCCTCCCCTGCCACTACTGCGCTTAGCCGCCTCATGCTGCCCTACCTATTTCCTGAGCTGTCCAACTTTGCCACAGTTGCCGATCTTATCACCCACCTCCGGAATAGTGACACTCGCCTTCGCGCCGCCCTCCCCAAAGAGTTCTTAGCGAAGAACCCGCCGCCGATGTACCGGACCCTGGACTTCATCGTGACCCGTCTCCCTGACCCTCTTCGCTCGGTCAGGGACCACTTTCTCGCTCGCTCTCCCACCGATTTCACTGTCGACCTCCTAGAGGAGCAGCTTCTAGCGGCCGAGACAAGCATAGTCATTGTGGGTGCTGCTCGTGGCGCTCCTCGCACCCCCATCTTTGAGGGGTGCTCTCCCTCTCCCCTCGCCCCCTCCTACACTACTGCCGCCGCTGCTGACTTCCTTGGTGCTGAGTCAGCTGGTGCTGCTTCTGCTCCTACTGGGAGGCGCCGCAACGGCAAGGGCAAGGTAGCCAAGAGTAGCGGAGGTGGCACCGGGGGGGGTGGTGGTGGAGGAGGTGGAGGAGGAGGAGGTGGCGGAGGGAGTGGTAGCGGGAGTGCTCGCGGGATTGGTGGCGTCGGTGTCGGCGGTGGGAGTGGCGGTGGAGGCGGTGGCGGCGGAGGGGGTGGCGGCGGCGGTGGCGGTTGGGGCGGCGGTGGCGGCGGCGGTGGCGGTCGGCGCGGAGGCGCTGCAGCTCGCCAGAGATAGCAGCAGCGTCTCCGTGAGGCTCTTACGCCCCAGCAGCTTCGTGAGTGGCTTGCTTACCGTGAGACGTCTGGGGGTAGTGGTCGCTGCGCGTATGTCATCCGCATAGGTGAACGCGCTGGTCATACATGCGGGAAGTTCCACACCCAGCACCGCTGCTTCTCCCGCCTTGACGACGCCTGGCGTGAGGAGATGGGCGAGGAGGTCGAGTGCCCTCGCTAGCATGAGCTGCTTAGGGCTGGTGTAGACATCTTTGCTCTTGACTATGATGCTATCCTTGCTGCCATGTATGCATTGACTGTTAGTGCTGAGGGAGACTGTTAGTTGTCTGTGCCGTGTGACCCAGGTATAGAGGCTGCTGCCTTAGGTGCGAGCGAGTCTTCTCTCTCAGGTACTGTGCCTGCAGAGGCCTTGCACACCTTCACGCTTGACTCAAGTGCTTCCCGCTGTTTCTTTCGTGACAGTACTGCCCTCACTCCACTCACTTCACCTGTTGCAGTCTCTCTGGCTGACCCCTCAGGGGGCCCAGTTCTTGCACGGTCCACCAATGTGCTCCCGTGCCCGGCGATTCCGTCAGGCTCACTGTCGGGCCTCCACCTCCCCTTGTTCTCTACGAACTTGGTGAGCAAAGCAGTTCTCCGGGACCAGTGGGTTGACACCTTTACCCCTTGAGGACAGCGTGTGGCGATCTGTACGTGCTCCCGGACCGGTCGCCACCTGGCCACGTTTACCCGTAGGCCAGGGTCGAGTCTTTACACACTGACGACTGCGCCTCCTCCGGTAGCTGCCATTGGTCAGGTGTCTGCAATAGGTCAGGTAGCCTCCCCTTGTTTGTGTCGCTCCCTGTCGCACAAGACTCTCCTCTGGCACCACCGTCTGGGTCACCCCTCCTTGCCACGTCTTCGCGGCATGCACCGTCGCCTCCTTGTGTCTGATCTTCCCAGGTCTCTCCCTCCCCTCCCTGCCTCGCCTGCCCCGCCCTGCCTTCCTTGTGTCGAGGGGCGGCAGCACGCTGCTCCTCACTCCTCCTCGTTTCCCTCGACAGAGGCTCCCCTGCAGACCCTCCACATGGACGTGTAAGGCCCAGCCCGCGTTTGTGGACAGGGCGGCGAGTGCTACTTTCTGCTGGTTGTCAACGACTACTCGCGTTACACCACGGTCTTCCCCTTGGGCACCAAGGGTGAGGTCCCTGCTGTCTTGATCCCTTGGATCCGAGCAGTTCGCCTCCAGCTCCGCGAGCGGTCCGACACGGACCTCCCTGTCCTGCATCTGCACTGTGACAGAGGTGGTGAGTTCTCCTCCGACCTCTTGCGGGCCTTCTGCCAGGGGGAGGGCATCTTCCAGTCGCTCACGCTTCCGGGCTCACCGCAGCAAAATGGGGTTGCTGAGCGCCGCATTGGCCTGGTCATGGAGATCGCTCGTACCTCCTTGATCCATGGGGCGGCTCCCCATTTTCTATGGCCGTTTGCAGTCTAGTACGCCGCGTAGCAGCTCAACCTCTAGCCCCGTGTCTCCTTGCTGGAGACCTCGCCCACACTGCGTTGGACGGGAGAGGTTGGCGATGCGTCCGTGTTCCAGGTCTGGGGTGCTTGTGCCCTTGTCCGCGATACGTCCGCGGACAAGCTCTCCTCTCGCACCATTCCCTGCGCCTTCCTTGGCTTCCCCCTATGATGCGCCTGGCTGGCAGTTTTACCACCCCACGTCGCGCAGTGTTCCGTCCTCTCAGAACGTCACCTTTGACGAGTCGGTTCCTTTCTACCGTCTCTTCCCCTACCGCACTGCCCCTCTCCCTCCCCCGCCGCTTTTCCTCGCTCCAGGTCCCCCTCCGGTAGACCCCCTCCCCCCTCAGGGTCCTGCTCCTTTAGGTGTGTCTCAGGTAGACTCGCTCCCCTTGGCTGAGCCTGTAGAGGTCACTAGCGACTCAGGTGCTGCTGCCGGTGGTGCTACTTGGGGTGCTGCGTCTGGGGGTGCTGAGCCTGTGCGTGAGGTGCTCTGGGGTGCGGAGCCTGGGGGTGCTGAGCCTGCAAGTGCGGAGCCTGGGGGTGTTGAGCCTACGAGTACGGAGCCTAGGGGTGCTGAGCCGGGGGGTGCCGGGTCTGGGGGTGATGAGTCTGCTGGCGTACCTCTAGGTCTCATTTCACGACGGGGGCCTCTCTCACCACAGCAGCTACGAGAGTGGCTTACGTGGCGTGCCCGCCTGAGGGGTCGTGCTGCTGGAGCTGGAGGTCCTGCTGCTGGAGGTACTGCTGCTCGAGGTGCTGCGGTTGGAGCTGCTGGAGCTGCTCGTCGTGGAGGTGCTGAGGGTGCTGGTGTTTCTAGTTCTGGAGGTGCTCGTACTAGAGGTACTGGAGCTGCTAGGACTAATGGTGCTGGAGCAGGAGGTGCCGGTTCTGGGGGTGCTGCTGGAGCTGGAGGTGCTGGTTCTAGGGGTGTTGCTGGAGCTGGAGGTGCTGGTTCTGGGGGTGCTTCTCTTGGAGGCACTGGAGCTGGAGACCCTGGAGTTGGAGGTGCTAGAGCTGGAGGCGTTGGGGGTGCTACTGGAGCTGGAGCTGCTGGAGGTGCTGGAGCCGCTGGTTCTAGAGGTGCTCATTTTGTAGGTACTGGAGCTGCTGGAGCTGAGGGTGCTACTGGAGCTGGAGGAGCTAGAGCTGTCGGAGCTGGTGGAGCTGGAGGTCCTGGAGCTGCTACATCTGGTGGTACTGCAGGCGTTGGAGCTGGCGACCCTAGAGCTGGAGGTGCCGGCCCTTGGGGTACTGGTTTTGTCGGGGCTGGTTCCGAAGGCGCTGTGCGGCAGCGACCGTACTTCATTCCCCTGCTTCAGCACGTTCTTGGCCTCCCGCCTTCCACTAGTCCTACTCCTCCCTTCCTGTGTCCACCGCCTGACCAGTCGCAGTCACAGTTACAGCCAGCCGCCCCTCTGCCTGCTCCTTCTCCTTACACTGAGCAGAAAGGAGGTCTTACAGAGCGTCGTGAGCCTGCGTCTTGTCCTGTGTCACCTGTTCGCGCTGTCCGCACTGGTCGTCGTGTTCCACGTGAGCGTCCTCCTCCTGTCCCCGGCACACACCAGATGGCACTTCGTCCTTCCTCTGTTCCATGGCCTGTCCCTCTGCTGTCTCCTCCTGCATCCTCCCTTGCTGACAGTCCGGACCTGGAGTCTGACTTGCTTCGTGCTGCAAGCCCTACTGTCATGCGTCTGCTAGCCACTGTTGTCACTGACCCTTCTTTTAATTCCATTGCTGCGTCTGCCCTAGTTGCTAAGCTTGTTGACTTTGCTGCTGCCTGTCGTCTTGACTACGCCCCTAGTCTTGTTGCTGAGTCTGAGTCTGTCTGTCCTCCGTCCGTCGGGGGTGAGTGTGCTCTTGGCACGGACGTCTTTGAGGATAGGCAGGAGGACTTTGAGTGTTTTGCAGCTGCTGTACCTCATCTCGTGTCCATGCTGATTGCACCTGAGGGAGACCCGGATGCACCAGACATCCCGACCCCGCGCTGTTACGCAGAGGCGATTGAGGGTCCCTACTCCTTTCAGTGGCAGTCAGCCATGGACGCACAGATGGCATCCTGGAAGTCCACAGGCACTTACGTCGATGAGGTTCCCCCTCCTAGGGCAAACATCGTCAGTGGCATGTGGATTTTGAGGGTGAAGCGGCCGCCGGGCTCTCCGCCTGTCTTCAAGGCGCGTTAGATTGCTCGAAGCTTCAGTCAGCCATAGGGAGTTGACTTCTTCCAGACCTACTCCCCGACCCCGAAGATGACCACTCTTAGGGTTCTGCTGCACGTCGCTGCTCAGCGTGACTACGAGATTCACTCTCTTCACTTCAGCACTGCTTTCCTACACGGCAGCCTGCACGAGGAGATCTGGCTGCGCTTCCCACTTGGCTTCACTGGGTCGTTTCCTGCAGGTACCCAGTGGAGCCTCCAGCGGCCAGTCTACGGTCTCCGCCAGGCACCTCGCGAATGGCACGACACAATGAGGACGACGCTTGCGGCTCTTGGTTTTGCTCCTTCGACTGCTGACCCGTCGCTGTTTCTCCGCACCGACACTTCGCTGGCGCCGTTCTACATACTCGTGTACGTTGACGACTTGGTCTTTGCCACTGCTGACACCGAGGGACTCGCCCACGTGAAGTCGGAGCTGCAATAAAGACACACGTGCACAGACCTAGGAGAGCTGCGCAACTATCTTGGCTTGTAGATCACTCAGGACAGAGCACGGCGCACCATTACCCTGACTCAGTCACACATGGTGCAGCAGGTCCTTCAGCGCTTCCGCTTCACGTACTCCTCGCCACAGTCCACTCCTCTGCCTACCGGTCACTTGCTCTCAGCTCTGCCTTCGGATGAGTCCGTAGAGCTGAGTGGCCCGTATCCAGAGCTTCTGGGCTGCCTCATGTACGTGATTACCTGCACTCGACCTGACCTTGCTTACTCTCTTAGCATCCTGGCACGCTACGTTGCGTCCGGGAGACACCGACCAGAGCACTAGGAGGCCGCTAAGAGGGTATTGCGCTACTTGTGCAGTACATCGAGCATGGGGCTCGTGCTTGGAGGACAGGCTCGAGTTGTTCTCACTGGTCACACAGACACTTCTTGGGTTGAGGACTTGGCTGAGCAGCGGTCGTCACAGGGTTACACCTTGAGTCTTGGCTCCGGCGTTGTTTCTTGGCGGTCTGCCTGCTCGTCTTCTGTTCTCAGTTCCAGTTGTGAGGCTGAGATCTAAGCAGGGGCCATGGCTGCACAGGATTTACGCTGGCTCACCTACCTGCTGACCGACTTGGGCGAGCCGCCTCATTCTCCTCCAATTCTGTACGTCGACAACGAAACCATGATTGCCTTGTGTCAGGAGCACAGACTGGAGCACAGGCCGAAGCACATCGCACTGCGTTACTTCCTTGCTCGAGAGTTGCAGCAGCGTGGACAGCTTCATCTTGCATACGTGGCCTGTCGGGCCAACACTGCTGATATCTTCACCAAGGCACTTCAGCCTTGTGATCATCAGCGTTTCTGTACTGTTCTAGGACTTGTGCCTAGTTGGCCTCACTTGCTCACTTCTTGACTTTGCTTGTACTGTGATCTATATGCGTATACTTCCATGCTTACCCTTGCTAGGTTTTGATCAGTGTGCTACTTGTTCTACTTTATAAAACTCTGCATGTTAACTGGTCTTATGGCCATTTGCTTGTGCTCAGAGTGTGTGGTGACTTCGTGATCCACCCTGAGCTTGCTTTGCTTTTCTTTACTGGTCTTGTGACCACTTGTTCTCCCCCACTGTGCCTATGGTGTAGGCTGTAGTGGGGTAGCCTATAAGGGGTACAACCCAATTACGGTTTCCTACTTGTACTCCTGCATGCTGCTAGTTCATCATTCTCAAGGAAGCAGCAGACTGGAAAGAACTTCGAGGCGTTGGTATTGGATGCGGAGTGGTGGAAGAAGGCGGATACCTTTGTCAAGGTGATGGAGCTGCCGTACAAGGTGATAGAAAAAGACGGATGGGCCGGCGAAGGGGATGATGGGGGTTTTTTACGACATGATGCTGCAGCTGACGGAGGAGTTGTCGGTGCTGTTGGAGAGCGCGCATTGCCGGCTCAAAGCGGCGGATAAGGAGGGGTTGCAGGAGCCTTTATTTCGACGTTGGGACGAGAGTTTGGCCTGCCCCCTTCACGTGGTATGTCGGATTATGAACCCGGTCAACCAGGAGGAGGGGATGTACCACAAGGACATTGAGTGCACCAAGGTGATGAAGGCTTGGCTGTCACGCTCGAGGGCCTTTATCGACAAGTACTGGAAGAACGACGGCGAGATGAAGGGAACGATGAAGGGGCCGCAGAAGGTGATGCTGGCGTATATTGAGGGTAAGGGGTGCTTTGGGACAGAGGAGGCAATAGAGGGGCGTGTGGAGTTGAAGGACAGAAAGGGGGACATGGTGACGCGGTGGAAGGTGAACGGCTAGGGGTACGCCGACCTGGCTGGCCTTGCGTGCTGTGCGCTGTCACAGCCCGTTTCTGCCTCCCCGTGCGAGCGGGGATGGGCTGTGTGGGATGGGGTGCACACGGCGCGAAGGAACATGCTGGGGTTGGAGAAGGTGCGCGACCTTGTGTTCGTTGCGCACAACTGGACTGTTGTGCACAGCCACCATAAGGGTGCGGCTGGTGCAGGGCCAAGTGGGGAAGTAAGGAAGGCAGGGGTAGTGGAGGGGAACATTCCCACCCCTCCCCTTCCCGAGGGGTGCAAGTTGTGGAAGTGGGGATGTGGAGGTGGACAAAGACGGCTTGTGCGTCGACGAGTAAAAGCACGAGGAAGACATGGAGGAGGAGGAGGAGGAGGAGGAGGAGGAGGAGGAGGAGGAGGAGGAGGAGGAGGAGGAGGAGGAGGGGGAGGAGGAGGAGGAGGAGAGCGAGGAGGATGCGGATGAGTGATTAGTGGCCTTGATGCGGTAGTAGTTTAGTATGCATGTTGCTGAGTGATTGGATATAATGTGACCTTGTGACATGTGTGACTCGCCTTGATATTAAAAATTGTGGGAAATGTTTGTTGTTGGGGAAAGTTTTGCATTGAATGTGTGGAACGTTCCCCCCCTCCCCTCCCCTTCCCATGTCCTATAACAATTGTTTTTGGCTGCCCGGGGTTTTTTTTTTGCCCTACCGGGCATGTGTCTTTTGTAGCGTTTCCCAGGCCCACATTAAGCGTCTTGCGTCTAAGACGCTGCGTCTGGACGCACCCGTCTAAGACGCAGGACGCGTCTTTCGCAACTAAGCTTCGGAACACATTTGTTGTTTTAACACGAAAATTGATTTGTAACTTTTGATAGGGGCTATATTCTGTACTTTCGTGTACTGTCATGTGAGCTGATACAAAATTTGCCAAATTTACGGGAGATCCAGAAATGAACGCTTCTTGATCCAGAAATGGCAATCGTTTCTTTCGAGCATGAGCGATTTTTTCGGGAGGAAAGAGAAATCATTTCCAACTGTCTGCCCATTTTCTTTGCTGGTGGGTATCATGACATAACAGACTGAGCTGGTCATACGCTAAACTTTTGTGTGTTAGACAGCGAGCACACACTGTTGAGTTTGGGCTGCGGGTGAGTGGGTGTGGGGAACAAGAGTCCATGTTCAAACGCTTTGAAACTCCTTCTGGAGGCTATACCAGAAGTGAATTCGAGCTCGTTCACTATGATGCATGATTGCTAACGCATAGATATCCGCTACAACCGAATGTTTGCCACGGATTCGCGAGTCTTATTGCATCATCCAAATGGTGCAAAACTGTAAAAACTGTCAAATTTTATATCTGCTACAGTTTGATTAGGGTGTAGTGGGGTAGTTACTTTGGGGTACAGTAAGTTTAGGGTTTCCTACTTGTACCCAACTCTTTCCTAGTTCAATCACTCTTGTTGATTATGACATGGTATCACGAGCCTAGGTTGCCACCTAGGACCGCTTACTACTACGGGCCCACTATTCCGCTAGAAGCGCCCTCGTGCGCCTTTCGCTGCTCGTGCGCCCTCGTGCGCCATTTTCTGCTAGTACGCCCTCGCGCCTCGCCCTTCGTTCTGCCCGCGCGCCGTCCTGCAGCCCTCGTGCTGCCTCCTGCTGCCCTAGGCCAGTGCGCCGCCCCTGCAAGCTAGTAAGGCCCTCGAGCCGCCCTTGTAGGCCCATCAGGCCCCCGAGCCGCCTCTGCAGGCCCGTCAGGCCCCCGAGCCGCCACCTACAGGCCCGTCACGCCTGTGAGCCACCCATGCAGGCCCGTCAGGTCGGCGCGCTGCCCCTGCAGGACAATGCCGCCCGACCGCGCACCGCCTCTGCCCGTGCGCAGCCTGTGCCCGACCGCGCGCCGCCCCTGCAGGCCCTCGCCAACTGCGAGCAGCCTCTGCAGGCCCGTCAGGCCAGTGCACGACCCCGTCAGGTCGCTGTCGCGGCCTCGTCAGGCCGCAGTCGCGGCCCCGCCTTGTCGCTGACGCGGCCGCGCCCTAATGCTGACGCGGCCGCGCCCTTCTGCTGACGCGGCCGCGCCCTGCTGCTGACGCAGCCGCGCCCAGCGGCTGACGCGTCGTCGCCCCCTGCCCGCCGCGTCGCCCTGCCCGCCGCGTCGCCCTACCCGACGCGTCGCCCCTGCCAGCGGCGTCGCCCCTGCCCGCGGCGTCGCCCCTGCCCGCGGCGTCGCCCTGCCCGCCGCGTCGCCCTGCCCTACCTTGCGCCTGGCCCCTGGAGCAGCCGCCCCTGCAACAGCCGCCCCTGGCCCCTGGAGCAGCGGCACCTGCAGCCGCCCCTGGCCCCTGGAGCGGCCGCCCCTGCAGCAGCCGCCCCTGGCCACTGGAGCAGCCGCCATTGCAGGAGCCGCCCCTGGCCCCTGGAGCAGCCGCCCCTGGAACAGCCGCCCTTGGAGTAGCTGCCACTGCAGTAGCCGCCCCTGGCCCCTGGAGCAGCCGCCCCTACAGCAGCGATCGTCGCGGCCCGGTCCCGCCCTGCAGCAACTGCCGCGGAGCTCCTTGCCGCGGTCGCGGCCCCGCCCTGCCGCTGTAGCGGCCCCGCAGTTGCCTCCGTCGTGCGCCTGCCCTTCCCACCACTGGTGAGCACTGCCCTGCCCGCGTCCGTGGACAGGGCGGAGAGCGCTACTTCCTACTGGTAGTTTACGACTACACGCATTACACCATGGTCTTCCCCTTGAGCACCAAGGGAGAGGTCCCTGCTGTCTTGATCCCTTGGATCCGCGCTACCCGTCTCCAGCTGGAGAGGCGCTTTTGCACGGACCTTCCAATCCTGCAACTGCACTCTAACAGAGGTGGTGAGTTTTCCTCCAACCTCTTGGAGGCCTTGTGTCAGGGGGAGGGCATTGAGCAAACGTTCACGCTTCCGGCCTCTCCTTAGCAGAATGGGGTTGCTGAGCGCCGCATTGGCTTGGTCATGGAGGTCGCTCGTACCTCCTTGGTCCATGCAGCTGCCCCCCATTTTCTGTGGCCGTTTGCGGTCCGGTACGCCGCGCATCAGCTCAACCTCTGGCCCCGTGTCTCCTTGCCGGAGACCTCGCCGACACTGCGTTGGACGGGAAAGGTTGGTGACGCGTATGTGTTCCGTGTCTGGGGATCTCGTGCCTTTGTCCGCGATACGTCCGCAGACAAGCTCTCCTCCCGCACCGTTCCTTGTGTCTTCTTGGGCTTTGTCGCTAACGCTCCTGGCTGGCAGTTTTACCACCCTACCTAGCGTCGTCTCTTCCCCTCTCTAGAGGTCACGTTTGACGAGTCGGTCCCCTTTTACCGTCTCTTCCCCTACCGCACTGCCATGCTCCCCCCTCCGCCGCTCTTCCTCACGCTAGGTGCTGCTTCGATAGACCCCCCGCCTCCCCATGGTCCTGCTCCCTCAGGTGTTTCCCAGGTAGACCCGGTCGAGCCTATCGAGGTAGCTGTTGACTCTGGCCCTGTGCGAGGTACTGAGCGTGTTGAGCCTGAACGTGCTGAGCCAGGTGGTGCTGGGTCTGGGGGTACTGAGACTGGGGGTGCAGAGCCTGGGGGTGCGGAGACTGGGGGTGCTGAGCCTGGGGGTGCGGAGACTGGGGGTGCTGAACCTGGGGGTGCGGAGACTGGGGGTGCTGAGCCTGGGGGTGCAGAGACTGCGGGTGCTGAGCCTGGGTGTGCTGTGTCTGGGGGTGCTGAGCCTGGAGGTCCTGAGCTTGGGGGTACTGCGCCTGGGGGCGCTCTCTCTTCCCAGCAGCTGCGTGAGTGGTACTCTCGTACTGTCGCCGCTGCCGTGGTGCTGTGGGAGCTGGAGGTGCCGCTGGAGCTGGAGCTGAGGGTGCTGGACCCACTGGAGTTGGTGTCGCTGCTGACCCTGGGGTTGGCGCTAGAGGTGGTGGAGCCACTGGTCCTCGAGGCGCTGTTACGCTGAGGCGATCACGGGTGAGTACTCCTCTCAGTGGCAGACAGCCATGGACGCAGAGATGGCATCTTGGAAGTCCACTGGCACTTACGTCGACGTGGTCCCCCCCCTTGGAGCGAACATCGTCAGTCGCATGTGGATTTTCAGGGTGAAGCGGCCGCCAGGTTCTCCGCCTGTATTCAAGGCTCGTTACGTTGCTTGAGGCTTCAGTCAGCGAGAGGGAGTTGACTTCTTCCAGACCATCTCCCCCACCCCGCAGATGACCACTCTTCGGGTGCTACTGCACGTTGCCGCTCAGCGTGACCACGAGCTTCACTCTCTTGACTTCAGTACAGCTATCTTGCACGGCAGCTTGCACGAGGAGATCTGGCTACGCCGCCCTCCTGGCTTCACTGGGTCGTTCCCTCCTGGTACCCAGTACAGCCTCCGGCGGCCGGTCTACAGTCTCCGCCAGGCGCCACGTGAGTGGCACAACACATTGAGGACTACACTTGCGGCTCTTGGTTTCGCGCCTTCTACTGCTGACCCGTCGCTGTTTTTGCGCACCGACACTTCGCTGCCGCCGTTCTACATCCTCGTGTACGTCGACGACTTAGTCTTTGCCACTGCTGACACTGAGGCTCTCGCCCTGGTGAAGTCGGAGCTACAGAAGAGACACACGTGCACAGACCTGGGTGAACTGCGCAGCTACCTTGGCTTGCAGATCACCCGGGACAGAGCACGCCGCACCATCACACTGACTCAGTCACACATGGTGCAGCAGGTCCTTCAGCGCTTCGGCTTCACCTGGTCCTCGGCACAGGCCACTCCTCTGGCTACAGGTCACTCGCTCTCAGCTCCACCTTCGGACGAGTCTGTAGAGCCAAGTGGTCCTTACCCAGAGCTAGTTGGATGCCTCATGTACCTGATGACTTGCACTCGTCCTGACCTCGAGCACCCTCTTGGCCTTGTGGCTCGCTACGTGGCTCCTGGTCAGCACCGAAAGGTGCACATAGATGCTGCTAAGAGGGTACTACGCTACTTGTGCAGTACATCAGGCATGGGGCTCGTGCTTGGAGGGAGGAGCTCATTTGTTCTCACTGGGCACTCATACGCTTCTTGGGTTGACGACTAGGCTACTCAGCGGTCGTCACAGGGTTACACCTTCAGCCTTGGCTCTGGTTCAGTTTCTTGGCGTTCTACACGCTCGTCTTCAGTTCTCAGCTCCAGTTGTGAGGCTGAGATCTACGCCACAGCCATGGCTGCACAGGAGTTACGCTGGCTCACCTACCTGCTGACTAACTTGGGAGAGTGGCCTCTTCTCCTCCAGTGCTGTACGTCGACAACAAGGCCATGATTGCCTTGTGTGAGGAGCACTGACTGGAGCACAGGACGAAGCACATCGCTCTGCGTTACTTCCTGGCACGAGAGTTGCAGCAGCGTGGTCAGCTTCGTCTGCGTTACGTAGCCACTCGGGCCAACACTGCTGATATATTCACCAAGGCACTTCAGTCTGGTGATCATCAGCGTTTCTGCACTATGCTAGGGCTTGTGCCCACTTTTCC